TTCACCCGCAATCTTCCCATCCTCATGCTGTTTCGCCATCCTGGTCTGCTAACCTCCGTATGGATTGGATTTGTGCAAGCTCTTCTTCTTGGTTCTTTCGATGCTACTGTCCCGTTGGTAGCTTCGGAGCAACTAGGGTTCGACAGCCTGAAAGCTGGATTGCTCTTCCTACCCCTGGGTGGTGCGGATTTCTTGCTGGGTCCAGTCTTTGGCTGGTGTGTCGATCACTATGGCACGAAGCCGGTATCAGTCTTTGGATTCATTTGGCTGATACCAACGCTTGTATTACTCCGACTTCCGACTGAGTCGAGTATCGTCGAGAGATTAGACAACGGCCACATCATCGCACTCTATTCTGCATTGCTAGCGATTAACGGACTCGGTCTGGCGGTTATCAACAGTCCTAGCATTGTCGAATCTGGAACTATCGTGGAGAATTACTACCAGGCGAATAAAGACATGTTCGAGCAGGCTCCTTTCGCCCAACTCTACGGCATCAACAGCATGGTGTGGAGCGGCGGGCTGACTGTAGGCCCACTGCTGGCTGGGTATCTACGAGACAAGATTGGATACGGCAACATGAACGCCGTTCTCGCTGGCATTTGCGCCTTCACGGCAGTTTTAGCGGCACTGTTCATCGGCAACAAGGAAAAGGATCAGGATGCATCTCCCAGAAATGTAGATTAACTGTCACTTCATATCATCATGTCTCATAGTGCAAGCTTTACTGTTTCATATTTCCATGTGGTATCGCAACCAACGAAGTCAGATCGACTGGCAAAAAGGATCTACATCCTGCTTAACCACCCTCCGTGAACATTTATCCATGTTTGACATTACAGCGACTGATAGAGCTAGTCTGACGGCCTAATCCTGATAGCAAGTACAGTCGTCAGATGAACCGTTGAAGTTCTTCCCGCAAATCCCACAGGTGTTACCGTCCACAGGAGTAGATTCAGGCTTGATAACGGACACTGTAGTGTGTCAGTGAGAAGGGAACTAGAAACAAACCCGGGATCTGGGGTACGTACTTTTGTGTTGCTGCTGTGTTGCTGGGAAAATGCTGTGATATGCGATTTGGTTGAGTTGGACGTGCAGGTTGAGCTTGTAGTAGTTATTGTGTGGTTGATTCGGAGTTGCTGTCTGCGGAATAGAGGAGAAGAGTTATATGTTTTATACCATAAAATTTCCACAGATCTTCACCACATGCCTTCATGGAAGTGTGTGTGCGGACGTTGGCACTGCATTTGATAGACTGGGAATCAAAGCTGTAGTGTGACGACTCTGACATTCGACATCCCTTTGGCAACGAAATACACTATATAGACACCCGACATCAAGGGCAAGCTCACTGCTTCACGTACGTATATCCCAGAAGGTAAAGCACTCCACGCAGTGCTTGTCACCGTTCGCTATAGCATACCGAAGTCTCTTAGTACCTGATCTTCAAGCTCTTTGTTGTCTGCCTTGGAGCAAGAACGCATTTCACGCTTTGTACCATCCCTTGCAGGCTTCATAATCCATCCTTCGAACGCGTCTTCACTCAACTCCAGGCCCTCTCTAGAAATCCAACGCTTTCGAGTCTCTGCACCGACATTTCTTTTCATCTGCTGAGACCAGGACTCATCAATAAGGCGGATAGCTTTGATCAGCTTCTCGGAAGATTCCCCGCCAGATATCGTGGAGCGTGTCTTTTCCTTGAACATGAGATAATAGTCGAGATACTGATTGTTACTGCCCAACGAGACGTCTTTGACTGCTGTTTCGAAGGCGGAAGGAAGTAGCCCTGCCATCTCCCAATCGATGATGGCAGCAAGCTCGTACTGTGGACCGTCTTCACTTTCTGCTTTCTTTACTAGCAGGTTCCGGGGTTCGAGGTCGTTGTGAGAAAGCACCAGACTTGTTTCAAGCACCCCAAGATCGCGAGAGGAAAGATGTATGTCACCCAACTCAGGTAAGGCAGATCTGATGACTATGCCGTCGCCGTCTAATGCGTCCTCTATGGAAGAGGTAGCAAATCTTTTGGCTTGACGCTTAGCGACATACAGCGCGATGAACTCGCGGACACTTTTAGCGAAACCAAGGAATGAACTGCCAATACTGATATCTCTGCTGTTTGCGACTGCGTCCAGAGCTGTGTTTGGAAGGATTTGTTGAAGGAGCGCATGCGAAGTGTCGAGCTGTTGAAGTTTATCGACTGCATTTGCAACAGCATCGACCAAAGATGTCTTCTGCGTGAGGTTGAGAGAAGTCCAAACAGACTCTAGAGTCACTGTTTCCGTTATGAACCTGGTGACCATGTAGTGCATATCGCTCTGGTTTTCCGTCACCACCTTTCCGTAGCTGAGTATCTCGGGGACATAAGTCGGTATTTGGAGTGAAGCTGCCTCTTGAATTTCAGAAACGACGGCTAGCGATCCGCTTGCGGTGTCCAGACGAACGATGACAGCAGGACGGTTTGGGAATTCCGCTTTGAACGTGCAGTTGGTGAAGGAGTGAGCAAGTATTTCGATGGAGTTGGGTTGCGACTCGGTGAAAATCGCCGAGATGATGGCGGTATCGGGGCGAAGCATTCGATCAGCCATATCGAAGAGGGTGAAGCTGCAGGTCGAGTTCCGGGGTAAGAGAATGGAAGGTACCTATGATCGTAGGACAAAGCTAACCTTATACAACCGCCAAGACTCAGCGGCCCACATTGCCTATGATTGGGTCGGAACTCGTTCTTTCACCGATGATATCGCGTGCGTGTCGCGTGAAGCTGGGTTGTTTGACTTCTGCGTCCGAAGTGCGGGCCCATCCTCTTTGTTCTACACGTTGGACACTCCGAAGTCCATGTCTTCAAGGAAGGCTGATGGATCAGCAAAACTGCCCCAGTCATCGAAAGCTGCGAATGGATTTGATGTCGGCTCTTCCAGAGCTTCAAGAGGGGCGAGAGAAGCCGAGTACGGTACATGAGTTTCGTTTGCGTCAGTGGCCCTAACCTCAAACGGAGGCTGATTTGCTGTAGGTGCGTTTGACGCCAAACACAAGAACTTCGTATCATAGAAAGATTTGGCCCACTTGATCTTCGCAGACCACTTCGCGAAGGCTTCGTTGTTCAGGTTCAGACCGTCAGGATGGGTCTGCGATACAGCATCATACCGTCGAGAAGCCTCGCCGAGAAGTGTCGAAAAGTCGACGAACTCTCTAAGAGCTTGGACATCCCAGCCGTCCATTTCAATCAGGCTTGCTCGGACAAGCACAACGAAGATGTAAGCAAACTGCGCAAAGACGCCGAATGGAACAACGAGATAGTCTTCGACGGGTAGTTCCAGGTATATCTCCGTGTACCTTTTAGCCGCGTCCATACATTGCCACATCCCATCTAGTCGTTGTCGTAGGTCCGTTTCTTTGACTGTATGGGTGGCGAGATTCCCGAATGAGCGTTCCCAGATCGCAGTTCGGGTACAGGCTTGCTGCAAACGCGACACTATCGCCGTCGCTGCGTTTCCAGACGCTAGCGCAGCCCTGTCGAGGTCGCTCAAGAATGATTTGGCATATAGTTGCACTGGAGCATGCTCGCAGTCGGTAGCCATGGCTTCTTGCATGATGCGCTGACCCTGCGCTAGCTGCACGAGCAAAAGATCGCTTTCGTATTCTCGAGCTTGCGTTAGTACCTCGACGCAAGCTGTATGCCATGGAGTCCAGTTAAGGTTGTCGATCTTCCGGAAGGATGTAAATATCTGTGAGGTTAGATAAAATGTTCCGAGAACTGCACGTCGCTCATCGTTCGTTACGACCTTTGCCGGCTGTGGCACACCGTGCGCTTGTGACGCTTCCATCAAAGCCGCCTTCTCACAAAACCCTGGTGCACGATCGATTTCCAGGTCGTGAGTGAGCGCCATGGTAAGGTGTAGAAGTACTGTGTGGCTTGGTGGTGCGAAGAGATGCGGATTATACCAGTTTCCAATCACTAGCATACCCTGTAACAGGTCGAGCGATTTCTCACCATTGATCAATACCCTATCCGAGATCTCTCGTACAAGATCCTTTACCAGAATCTGTTGAACTGCGGTATCGTGGAAGAAAGCGACTGCCTTGATAGCCTGCAACAAGAACGGCTTGTTGTTGGCCAATCTGGAAACATCAGTACCAGTTGGGACTACTACAAAAGGCATATGAGGTGCCATCAGTCTCTGGTAGCGATCGAACAAAATTTCGGTATTTGTTTCGTTCGTTTCCATTGATGCGAGGTCGGAATCGTCCATCTCCAGCGTTGCGTCGCGGGCAGAGGCAGTAGTATCGACAGATCCGGTAGCGCTTGGGGTTACGGTCAGTGGTGCCTGATACACAACGTTATTCTTCTCATGTAATCTTGTCGCCTGCTGTAATCCAGAAGTATGTATTCCCGATTCTGAAGATGCCTCTGGCGCATGTTTGTTGGCCAGAGCTTCAGTGATGTCTGCAAGCTGTGCCTCGAGCTGCTGCAATTGAGCGGATCGTCTACTTACAATTTAGCATTATGAAATCAGATACCGAGCACCGCTCAAGTTGACTCACGTTACCTTGTTTGCCTTGCTTCTGCGTTTCGTTGGCTCCCGAGTCTGGCAGACCTTATGTAGCCGTGTACATCTAAGAATGTTTTAAGCTTTTTGAACTCCTTCAATATGAGCTTGAAATTGAGTCTTATGCGAAATGGTCAGTCATGCTGTAGTCACTGACCTTTCGCAGTTGCTGTTCTCTGAACGCCTCACACATTTGCTCTTAGCCCTCGCACAGACTGCACACGAACCATGATGTGTATGAGTCGTATTTTGCGACGTGGCTGTTACTTCTTCAGATTCTTCGTATGCTGAAGTCATCGCGACTAGGACGTAGCAGTAAAATATTGAGAACTCGTAAAGTAAGAGTGATGATGAGGACGACGAAGTTGATGGCAATAGGTAAATCAACATGGCAATATCTCCGTCCGTCTAAACTCCGAAATCTGCAGTATGACAACATCAATCTCGGCTCAACTTTCAACCGTTCAGTAGCTTCTCATGCGCTCCTCCATATCTTTTACCTGCAACAGGAAATGTCTCCTGAGCTTTTCGAAGGTTTTCCATATCCTCATCTGTCAACTCCAACAGCTTGCTGTTCAGGGTAACGCGTTCAATGTTGGTAGACCCTGGAATGGGAATCGCCCCTTGCCGCGCTACCCAAGCGATAGCGACTTGTGCCGACTTGAGGCCTTTATCCTGGGCAATCTTCTCCACGGCCTCGGCAAGCCTGTAGTTCTGATCAAACACTTCAGGCCGAAAGCGATCGAACATCTTCGGGCGAAAATCGTTGGGCGAAAGATCATCGAGCGACTTGAAACTGCCCGTGAGCCAGCCTCGACCGACCGGACTGTACGCAATCACAGGTATCTCGACTATATTGGTGTTGTCAGCGTCAGATCTCCAAAGCAAATTCTTCCGCGGAAAGACATACGTTCAGAGCATGCTTCCATGATTCCATTCTGAAGGGGATCGGGTGTGAACAGGCTCAGCTCGATTTCTACGGCTGAGATCGGGTGAACGGCATGAGCTTTGCGAATGGTGTCTGCATTGACTTCAGATAGTCCAATGCCCCCGATCTTACCCTCTTTAACCAGCTCGGCCAAAGCTTTGATGGATGTTTGAACGGGCGTGTTGGGATCGATGCGTGCTGGCATTCCATCAGTTGTTGCTACAAGATCAACTTGCCGACGTGCTCATACCCATCTCGAAGATATCAATGGATTTCGCGCCCCCTAGCCCTTCCAGAGCCTGCTCAACAGATGCGCGAATGGCCTCTGGGCTGCCTACTGGGCCTGTTCCATGATTGAAGGCGCCCTTGATGTTGACGACAACCTTTTCAGCATCCTCGGGGTATTTTTCGAAGTAGTGGCGCATCAGATGTACGGAGTTTGACTCCGGCGTGCCATAGTGAAGACCTCCGTTCCATAGGTTTGCACCTTGGTCTAATGCGGTCTTCAGCAGACTGATTTGATGCTCGCGCTCAAACTGAGGAAATGGAGCAGGAAGAGTCAAGCCTGGAGAGTCTGCTGTCAGTACGTTGCGTCTAGAATGCTCAGGCAGCGTGGGACGGACCTAACATTCCGAGCCCGACAGGGCCCACTGGCTTGCCACACACGCGTGTAGCTGCTGCTCTTCCAATACTCATGACGGGCGATAAATAGTAAAAGAAGCCTTGCAGGCTGTCAAGTTAATAGTAAGGGACGATCTGATTGAGATAGATGATACGTATGACTGGTAACAACGACCATGCTCTTATAGCTTTATTCTGAACGGTGCTGCGAGCCACAACACCGTCCGTCCCCGTGTCTCGAGCATGCATAATTCGGCATCATTTCAATCTTATGAGAAAGTAGGAAGCGACTGTTGTTGCGCCGTTCCCGGTCCCCGTTGGATGTTTGTGTGGCTTGCTGGGGAGGGAACGGAACACTGCGACCGCGCGGTGGCAGCTTGGTGGGCAGTCGGCGCTTCGGGCGCTATTTGAACCTCCGCCCCGTTCGAGCGGCGGCTCAGCACCCACCTAGCACCCAACCTCAACACACAATAAGTACATGTTACGGCCCTCCTCAATCGCAAGCAGGTGATTCCCAAAATCAGACCATTGAGAACTTGTTATTCTTGTCATATACCATAACCCTCAGCAGCATACTCGCAGGATCGTCATCCGCATCTGGCTTAATTACCAGATTCTCCAACAGAACGAAGCCCATATGCTGGTACAGTGGAAATCCCATCGGACTTGCCTCAAGGCCTACGTCAATGCCCGCAGCTAGAGCCTGGTCGACACCCCATTGAGTGAGCGCAGTGCCCGCACCGCGCCGACGATAGTCTGGATGGGTTGCAAGCAGAACGAGGTAGTAATTCTGAGGATACATCTTCTCCCAATATTTCGAGTGGGTGTAGTTCAGCGCTTGCTGAAAGGCGATCATGCGCTTCGGATCGCCATCACGCCGCCTGAACTCCTTTCCTATGGCCCAGTTCTCCACAAAGGTGATGTAACCTGTCATTTCTCAGTATTGTGTTCATCGAGGTTCGCGCGTGCATGCCCACAGTGTAGCGCGTTGAACACGCCCTTACTCCACAGGCCTGTCAGAGCCTGTGTCAGCATACTCTTCCCATTTCTCTCCCATAATGCGAACGCGATTATTGTCGCTACTGCTTCTCCACGATCTTCGCGCTTTTCCTTTAATGACGCGACTTCTTCAGCCACGATGAGCGTGATTTTGGGATGGTAGAGATAATGTTTGAACACTTGCAACCAAAAGAATTGACTGTCATCAGGATACTGGCGCCTGTACCTCCAGATGAATTCGAACCCCGGGTCATCAGGTAGACTAGCGAGGGCAACCGTCGTGACACGAGGGACGTCGCGAAGTTCAGCAAGCCTGACCCTGAAGGACGGTGTTGGCGACATGCTGTTTGAAGCTGGACGGGGCGGACGGCCGCCTGAGCTGGGGCGAACCCCTCATTTTATCGCTAAACAAAAGCCGCGGTACAGTACGCGGTTGGATCCATAGGATCTTTCTGCTTCTCAGGCCTGCCACAGTATGTGTAGGTGGTAAGACGGAGCTGCAGCCACCTGATTGCAAGTCCGAGATGATAGGCTGATAAGGTCCACGGAGACTTGAGGAAGGGGTGACCGCGTGCACGGGCCATGCAGCCTGCCGCTCCCCATCGATTGCCTCTGCCGCATTTTCCGCACGACATCAATGTGAAGATGTCGGTATGGGATCGACTCTCTGTTGAGCTCGTTGATGAGGTAGCGTTCTTCGTCTTCCGATTCGATACTGTAGGCTAACGAAAAGTCCAGATTTTCTCCTACCTTGCAAGGCCCGTGACTGAACCCCGGTATTCATGGGATGAGAGCAGGCCTATCCACGATTTTGATTACATATGTGGCCTCGGCGGCTATGACTACCCACATGTACTTCACCGGGAGCTGGAGATTCGGCTAGTCTGTAAAGCTTTCGACCACGCCATGACCCGTCTCTACTTCCAACATAAATATGCGACATTCCACACCTGGGAGAACACAGCTACCTCGAGACTTCAAGAATACATCATAGAAGAAGGCGCTAAGTTTGCGCCTTGCATAAAGCGCTTACGAATCATGTTGTCTGAATCAAGACTGAGCCCCGATGGATTGTTCGAAAAGAGAGACGTCGAAAATAATCCTGGGCTGGCTGGAAAGTTGGCCCTTTTGGTCGCGAACACGTCAGCCTTTGTCCCTCGGATCGAAGAGGCTGTCTCTGAATTACCAACGCTAAAACGCCTTGTTATTACGCTCGAAGAAAATTGGCGTAGCGCACCGTTGGAAGTTGATCAGCGAGACGATGAAGACTATGGCCTCAAGCTTGATCTTGACTTCCTGCAGCTCATTCGTAGCAACATCGCGAGCATATTCTCCTCGCCACGCGTACATCTTCCTTTGCTGACTTATCTTCGACTTACGCTGCCCTCAGCATACGACATTGCGATCATCGGCGCTTGTATTCAGGACGATATGGCCATGCAACTGCGACATTTGTTTTTGGAATACATCGATGGCACAGGGCCATTCGGTGATCGCGCGTACGACCTTGACGAGAGGTCTGTTAACGACGATCACGGAACCCCACTCTACTCTAACCTGCAAACGCGTTTTCCAAATACGGATTACATGGACGGCATATGCACCTTGGTGTCGCGTTGTCGCAATCTCGAATCTCTTGGCCTGAAGGGCACTCAATACTGCAACCTTGAATCGCTCATGTGGCGCCCGACCGGAGATGGGCTCAAGACCTTATACATTCACCGTGCGAGAACCCCTTCTTCAGTCTTACTTGCTCTCCTATCCCCGTCCACCAGTATTCCAGAGTCGTCGTCGAGCTCTAGAATTGTTTCGGTGGAGCTTTCAGACGTGGACCTCCACGGAAGTGCGTGGGGCACGATCTTTGATCACTTGGGATATAGTCCGCTACTCGCCTACTTTGATGTGAAGGACATTTTGACAGGGAGGAGCGACCAAGGGAGCTTAGTCAATTTGATAAGAAAGGTTGATGCTCGGGAAGGTTACTTGGGTGAGGATTTGCAGGACCTATACCGGGAGAGTTTGGACAGTTTTTTGAATGGAGAAAGTAACGGCTGAGGTTATAGAGTACATATCTGGCTTGTCCAAATACAATCTGTTCAGAAAGCTAGGGTTTGTCCCGCCTCTTTAGTAACAGCCGCTTTAACGTTCGCGCTGCCCAATAATTCGTACTTGTAGGGCAAGCTTTGCGCACTTAGTGTACCCTTGGGAGCTGTATTGGCGCTCTGCCCACCAAACAACACGTCCTCAACGACTGCATATCCATCCTCCGCGCTACTCTCCGTGTAAACCATCTTCTTGCCACTGTTCTCAAAGACCGAGCTTTGAACCAGGGCTTGCGCACCCATGCGGGTGTTCACACCTGTAGACTGCTCGTTGTAGTAATTGTTGAAGATGTGCGCTGTGCCAAATCGGAGCAATGGTCCGCGACTGTTGACGCGGTAGAAGTGGTTGTTTGCGTATGTTACGCGGAGGTGGCCAGTGTCTTCGGCGGCGTTCTTGTCGGAATGGCCTACCAAGGTGCCTTTGGACTGCGCTGCATTAGCCAGTGTGTATTTTCGTGAAGATGAACATGAGGACGTACATGGTTGTGAAAGTAGGTGTTGGAGATGGTTACGAAGTCAGCAGCGTGCGAAAGATCGACCAGCCCATCGTAGGTGTCTTTGCCAACTGTCTCGTCACCATAGTAGTCGCAATGATCGACCCATACATTGGTAGAGAGTTGAATGGTAGTGGCATCGCCGTACTCGGCGGGTACCCTGCCGATCTTCATATTGCGTACAATCACATTCTTCTGCCCTAGAATTGTGAGACCGATGCCAGTCAGGGCTGTATCGTGTTAGTCAGAACTCATGCAACTTGGAAAGGCAAAAGACGTACAGCTTCCAGTCTTTCCAATGATGGTCTTGTCCGAGCCAACCTGTACTTTTGCAGCACCATTGATAGCTCCTTGAACTACAATGTTCAAGGGTCCGGAAGAGTTGGCCGCTGCCGAGAGTTGGGGTAAAGTGCTCACGGTGGTAGTAGGACCACCGGCTCCCCCCTTTGTCCCACCATTTGCCATCGCGAAACCAACATTAGCAGCATCTGTAATGCTAGCCCTCTTCTCCAAGGCTCTTGCTGGTGTGTCCTGATAAGTTGGGGTAGGCGATGCTGTGACTGCAGCCACCGCAACGAGTAGAAAGGAGGTAGAAAGCTTCATGTCTAGTACTTGGTGCGACTTGAGATGATGGTGCTTGGTCGTTCTGGCTGAACCTATGTACACGTCGAAGCTCCATTATGTATAACACGTCGGCGTTTGGACCGCAATAATTTTCGCTGATCATCTCCGTGAAGCTCAAGGAGTGGCTTGATCTCCACCGACTTCATATAAACAACGAACCCTCTTAGGTGGAATTCGATGGCGAATGTCGCCGCGGAAACGCCTGAATACTTGGAGTAACATGAATCATTCCGCGTGACCAATGTGTAGCTCGATTGGGTAGTTTGGACGTGCATCACGGCTGTGGCCGAGCGTTGGCTGATGCATGCGAAACATATCGGTCCGGAGAAACCCCTGGTTGGAGGAAGTTAGCTCAATCCGGTCACCCCAGATTTGCATCTATCTAGCATCACAATGCCAAGTCTGGGGAATATCGTTAGCTTAAGGAATGTTGCGGGGAATACAACGCGTTGATACTGTTGATTTTGAAAGAACATGCTTGTGGATGATGCGCATGGTCATATTCTGATTTTGGTGTGAGTTAACATCGCGACATCGACCCCGGCACCAGGACTGAACACGACTGCAACGATTGAGGCATCCTCAATCTTCAAACCCAGGCACGGTTTTCGTAATCGGCATTAGTACCTCCAACCATGATGTTTCCATTGCCATTGGCAACCGCAAAACCAGCGCAACTGTGATCAAGTCTCGTGCAACCGTCAATGACAGCCAAGACACTCCATGCAAGATCGATGCTATGCCATACAAGTCAGGTTTGTTCTGTTTCATAGTCGTTTGTGCGGAGTAAAGGAGCGAAGATAAGCATACCAGTAACTAGTCTCATGCTGACCCGTTGTACTTATACCAACGACAACGCCATTGAACCCGTGCCAACACACCGTTCTCGGTTCTCTACTGTCGAACTCACAGAGAGTTTTGCCGAGAATGCGAAGATAATTGAAGCAGGAAATGAGATTGTTGACGTCTGTATAGGATCCATCTTCCGGGCCGCACACCAGTGTATTGTCTGAGGTGGCGGTTTGAGCTGCAGGGTGTTAGATGATTCCCACCTGAAAATGCGACAGGTACTTGTAATGATACGTGCTCACCGCTGGAACCTCGTACTATTGGCCACTCAAGTAGATCAGCTGTAGTAAGATTCAGAGATGCTAGAGACGGGAAACCTGGTCCTGGGATAAGTTCAGAGTGTACGTCTGGAATTGCATCTGAACAGTTTCCGAGCGTCAAGAGGGAGATAATGGGAAGACAGATCCTGAAAAGCATGGTGGACAGAGAGGCGCCTCTAACATGCCAAAACCTGGATTGGCCTCGAATATATCCTGTTACGCAATAGCTATGTTTCCGTCAACTTTACGCTATTCATTGCCCTGGCCATAGTGTGATTGCTGCAAAACTTGATCGTCGCTTTCCTGTACACGTCGCATAGGTTAGCTTCGGGTACGACTGACATAGAAGAGTTAAACGTACCAGGCAGAATGGCCAAAAACGTTTATCAATGTGCAAATCATGTGCTTGTTGCACAGGATGATAGACCGAGTCCGCACGAGGTTACTGCGCGTGGGCGCTATCGATTGATAGCCATGCGATCACGACTCAGCACATGCACCCGGGGAACGCGCGTAACAGCCCGATGAGAAAAAAGACTCACAAACACGGTTACATGTGTATCGTGACAATGCTCGGCTCCTGTGATTGTGAACGGCTACGGTAGCTGTCAACAGGTACTCTGCCGTTGCAGTCGCACCAAAATACCTTCCAAATATCCGTCCAATTGAAACGACGCAAGAAAAAGGCAATGGAACGGCGCTCGGATAGGTGTTGGATACGAATTTCAGTAAAAGACGGTGGATTTAGAAACAACCATGCGAGTGGGGATAATGTGATGCGACGTATAGATGGCTGTACAATAGATGTGATATATCAAATCAGCTCGTGCTGACAAGTGTCATGCCTCAACACAGTGACCAGGTGTATCCAGGGAAGCGATCGCTGCCCGCGGAGTAGTAAGCATTCCTACCAACCAGGAACGAGCGCCATCGCGCCAAATAACAAAACAATGCAGGTGCAGTGGGAATGCAGTACCAACATGTGTCTACCTATCTCTGCCTAGTCTTTCCTCGTAGTCATCCACCAATTCGTATGCCGGCCTAAACTTCGGCTTCGAGGCGCCTGTCCCATTCCCAGTCTGGGGTACTTGTTGCGTAGACGGCTGGCGTACGAGCTTTGGGTTTGGGTGGGTATCAGTAGTTCCACCCAATGAGGTATATCCGCGGTCGTATAGCGAGCAGTAAGGTATGTTGAGGAAACGTATAAACTGAAGAAGTCAGTAAGCAAATGATACAGTGTGTGCATTGCGCGTACGGTCCATATATCCACATAGTGCCAGTCTATGACAGGATGTATCCGCACAAAGGCTGGCCACCCGGAGTCGGTCGGGTCGAAGAACTTCAGATGTTGGCCATGCGGATCCGTCCGCCGTGTCCCCACCAGGATCGCCTTGACAGATGGCGTGTCTTTCAAGTAGTCGGCGAAGGCAGCCTTCATGGGTTTCGCGTATTCTAGCAAGGCGAGCCAATATATCTTGCTACTATGCGCGACGAACTCCTCGACCTCGGGAAAGGGATGTGCGTCCTGTATGTACACGCATTGTACGGCGGTTTCGATGCTGGACGAGGGATTTGGGGTCTGCGTAAGACCCCGCCTGTGCATGGCGCAGAGGTATAGTATAAGAAGAACTAAACAGTCTTTGCCGCCATTATACGATAAAGACAGCTCTGGTAGACTACGTAGCTGTCAGTCCCTAGCTTCCGCACGCCGCCTACATGGTCAGCACCAACCTGTACTTCTCCAGAGCCTCTCCTATGACCCTCAGCGATGTTCGTGTCTGCTCCTGCACATTCTTGACGCGATCAGACACATCTGTCGCGTCGAGAAACGTGACTATGCGGTCATTGATGCGCGTGCATAGCTCGTCGAAGGGCAGCGGGGTATCGGAGACAAGGGGATCTGAAAATCCGGAGGCGGTATTCATTGCAACAAAAGTGCGCTAATCACGACATCAGATGCAGATGTAGGCGATTACGGTAGGGGTAGTGTCGACGATTGGTCGTACGGGGGTGCTGGTTCATGCCATGATGCGTGTGTCGGCCATGGCAGGAGAGGCGAACAGGTGGAGGTAGCCGGTGCCTTATCGATAAGGGGCATGGATCCTCGGCACATCTCCATGCGGCAAGGCGGCGGATGCCTCACCTGGCCACTCACGCACCGGACAGTAAGCATCGCAGCGGCCATCGGACGGGGCTCCACCACGAGATGCACCATGGGAGAAATTCGGTCTTGAGGCTCGCGTCGAGCTCTACAAGGCGATCTAGGCTGAATGATTACACCGAACGCGCATCTATGATGGTCTGATTCGCCGCTCTTCGGCCCTCGCCCCAGACCCTGACTTGCACTAAAGAATTGCGTGCTTTCGGCACGCGTTGTCATGACCTCTTAAAGGGAATTTTTCCACTGCCGTTGCCGCTGACTATGAGGACTGTCGCCGACGGTCCGAAGTACTACTACTGCTCGTCTCCCCCGTAGACATTTCCTTACTGTTACCGTCAACCCTGAATTCGCAGTCAATATGGGGTCTATCTCGACTGCAGGAGAGGCTGGTACGTCCCCGCAACCATTCGCCCCACCAATGCTCTACCCCAACATGTCGCCATGGGAGAGTAGTGGGAGGCTGCAAATGCACATATACTGACCTGCATGCTGTATAGTGGCCCGAATCGCCCACCTGGCCTCCGACGTGATCGTATCGGTCGTCCCTTCCTTCACAACCGAGTCCGAGTTCTCGGAGCCTCTGCGGGGACTCCAGAAGCACAACGCGCCCAGCGTTGTTTGCAAGACACAGCCAGAGGTGTGTTCGCATGCTCACTGCAGCCGAATGGCTTGTACTAACATGCTACCCAGATCCTCACTGTCCGCCAAAATGCCGACCCTCTGCTCTCCGTCTTCCAGCCCATCCGCTCGGGCAAGCTCACCAGCGTCACCACAACCTCGTCCATTCTCGTTAAGTCGATACCGCACCTTTACAAGCTCGCACAATACCCCGTCGTCCTCCACGTATCAGTGGCGCCCTCGGGCTTCCCTGACTTCTCCGACATCACCTCCATCAGACAGTCTGGATTCGCCTTCATCCAATCCGAGACACTACAGGAGTTGCAAGATCTTGCTCTCACTGCCCATGCTTTGGCCATCAAGTCGGGCAAGGGTGTCATCCACTTCTTCGATTCGGGCGCGACCGCTTTCAAGAAGACTGTCGAGGTAGAGGATGCCGACCTGGTCCGAAGCGTCATCGACCTGGACGCGGTGGCGGCATACCAAAACACCAAGTCGGAGGAGACCACACTATACGCCGACGATGGCAGGAATCCGACACTGTCCTTCGCTCGCAGTCAGGCCGTCAATGCCGCTCCAGCAGCAGCGCCTGTCAGCCTTCCCGAGCATCCCAAGTCGCTTCCTGCATCGGAGAGGAACAGCCAACGCGCCGATTCTTCTTCTGGCTCGTCGCAGCGCGATGCTAGCACGAGCGGTGCGTCAGTGTCCTCGGCAACCACAGTGGAGTCATTGATCTCCAAGCCCGTTTCCTCCGAGGATATCTACCGCTTCGCCACACAGATTTGGGGAACCATCCGTGATGCCACTGGACGAAGCTACGATGCCTTTGCTTTCTCCGGCACTGGTAACGAGGAGGCTGCCATTTTCCTCTTTGGTGCCGATACTGCTGTCTGGGCTACCGAGTTGGACAGCGTGGAGGAGACCAAGGCATACGCCAACACAGCCGTCATCACAGCCAGGCTATACCGTCCCTGGTTGGGTGCGTCCCTTGCTCCCTTGCTTCCCCGGTCGCTTAAGAGGATCGCGGTGCTGGAGCAAGTTCGACGAAAGACTACCCGATGGGGCCCTGTACTGCTCGACCTTCTGATGTC